TTTACTCGATCAGATTTAATGTGGGTCGTCATGAAAACCTTGACGGACTCTTCGGAGTGAAACTTGTGAGCCCGATCCGTGGACGGCTTGAGACGAGCAAAACATGACTACATCCGCTCGGTTGTCTAGTCAGCCGGCTGAGAAGGCCTCTCTCGCCTGATTGTCCTCTGGGCGCGCGCAATTAAGTGTTACTCGTCAAGACTCACAACTAATTACTGCTCCTCATGTAGTTCAAGCCGGTCGGATGGTATGCATGAGGTTTTCAAACCTTGGGGAAAGCTCATCTGCCTAGATACATGACATCGGGGGTTTTGCTTGATTGCAAGGTCGAGTTGATCTTTGCCCCAAGATTAAAAATGTTTCATGTGCGTTTCGTCCATGAGTCCGACTACCAGGAAGCAAGCTTGAACATATCAATTAACCTTGCGGTGCGAAGGGTGATGGAAATCCGCTCAAATGGATGAATTTCTTTGTTTTGGCGATGGTCAGTGAGGAGGTGTTCGTGAGAATTAGCTGAATGAGGAAATGTGGTTGTTGTTGAGACTTTTGTTTATGATCACAGCAGCTGCTTTGAAGCTGTTGAACCAGGTATAAGCATATCTACATATGTGCATACATCCAGCATATATGCTTATACTGGGAGAGAACACATCCCACCAGCACATTCCCTCCGCATTTCTTATGACCAACCACTCACAAAATCACAAGATAAGAAAAAGATGACCCAACAAACAAGCCAGGAATGGATCGACCTACTCGAATGGCTGCAGAGGAACGAAACCAATACGGGAGAATTCAAAGCAACGATGCGTTCATCGACCAGCAGTAAGTCCAACCACTGCAAGAAAAATCCATCCCACCAGCTCAATATGTCCAACATGTGTGTGTATGTGTGTCTGTGTGATGCAGGAGTTTGATACGTATTCAACCCTCCTACACTAGAGGGTCGCAGCCTGGTAGCCACGGAGGACATCGAAGTAAGCCCACATTAATCGCGATAGGATTCCAAGTAATAAAACATGTATTCCCTCAAATGCCGACCACCATCACTCCAATAACCACCAGGAATCGACATCAATCCTATGCTTACCAAGATCAGTCCTGCTAGATACCAAGACGATACCCCAAGAGTTCGTAGAGAAGCATTGCTTGGAGCTCACTTCGACTCAAGCCTTGAGCCTATTCCTGACGGTCTATCGATCGAGTCGACGGAACTGTGCAGACCCGGACCGATTCGAATACCCATTTGGATGCTACTTATCTACCCTACCGGACGACCTATCGGGGATCCCATTAGTATGGCAACTCCGCGCGATCTTTGGAAAGATGGACGAGATCGATCCAACCGATCTGGCCCAGCTCGATCGGCTCCAAACTCATGTCCGACCAGCCCCTCCTCCCACAGATTCCATCAATCCCTTCGACTTCTACCAGCTCATGACGCCTACCACTATCAATCAAGCCGAGGAGGTCCTGCTCCGGTTCATCGATGATTGGGCCGCCTTGGTCCCGACCTTACGCGACTGTTATCCTCATGCTCGTCTTTGGGATCTGCTTTGGGCGTGGCTAATTGGTCGGTATAATCACTCTCATTCTTATTCCTATATCTTCCTATGGCGCTAAATTTTTATTTCTATTTCATTTTGTTTGTAAAAACTGATATAAGTTAATACTAGATGTGTATCATTCAACATTGGAGCCAAGAAGATGGCGGACAATATCTCACTAGCCCCAGCATTTGACATGGTACGAATAAAGCCGAAAGTTGATCGGGGCGATGATCTGATAAAAATTAACGCGAGCAATCTGTGACCACAGGCGAACCATTCGCCGATCAGCAGAGTGACGGCGGTAGCCAATGAGCAGACACTGACGATGTATTCGACGCAGCCTGCGGGGCTGGGCCCGGCGAACCCGGCCCTGAACTTCCCCCACTCGTCCCCATCCGATCAGCCCTGCATGATCAGGAAAGGCCAAGAAATCACTTTCTCGTATGGCCCCCATGCCAACTCCACCCTCTTGACTGAGTACGGCTTCGTCGCCTCTGAACCTAATCCTTGGGACTCTATCGACGTCACCGACCATATCGTCGCCCTTTTCAATCGCTCTGACCCTACTCATCTCAAGAAGATCGAACTGCTCAAGAATACAGATTACTGGGAGTAAGTTTTCTCTGAATTATAATCTATATACATTTTCCCTACCACGTGCCTCAATGTTTTCTAACCTTCGTATTTTTTTTTGTGTGTGTTTGTATGTCAAAACAGGGACTACACGATCCAATGTGATCCTCTAGAAAGCTCGCACCGGAACCTAGTAGCGTTGCGCTTACTGCACACGCCCGAGGGGCGACTCTCGGAATGGGAGGCCCACATTGACGGGCTAGCCGACGAGTTGAGCCGAGACATCGAGCAAGCCGTCCGACGAACTCTGGACGAGCTCTTCGATCAACTCCAGGCCAAGTCTCGCGCACTGGTCCAGAAACTCGAAGGACCAGACATCTGCTTTGCCAAGTTCGGCTTGAGTGTTTACTCCGCTCAATGCCTCGTAACTCTCGCTGCTAACGAGTTGAAGGCACTATCTTCTTATTCCCCTTCGACCGACTAAAACATCCCCACGATCGATAAGCTGTATTCACTAGGACCGCACTTCATTCGTTCATTTCTTGCTGTCCCTGACTTACGTCATAATCATCACCACTCGGTGTGATGCGCACATTTTTCAATGCACGACCGTGCCAATTTATGCAATAACCTTGGCACTTATCTCACTGCACAATATATCGGCTGCCCTCAGTGCTTGACTTGCCACATGATGAATACACAATAGTAATGCACATGGCTTTAGTTGATGATATGTTGGGGCAAGAAAGGAGACCTTGAACTGACCCCACCCTAAGAGTATCAAAATGAGGATGACTGGGAGAGAAAAGCAGGTGCAAGTGTTTTCTATAGAGAATGTTCAGAGGCTCGACAGGAAGCCCACCACCTCCGTCCGGCCGGCCTCCCGCGCCAACTCGAGTCCCGTCAACCCGTCCATCTCGTCCTTCAACCCCCGATCAACCCCAGCACCACACAACATCTCAACTTTCTTTAGGTCGCCTATGTCACAGGCTTGATGGAAAGCTGTATAGCCCTTTTCTCGTGTTTTTTTTTTGTTGGTGGGGGGGGGATAGGAACCAGAAATTGATGAGAGTGAGTGAGAAGATAGTTTTGGCTTGGGGATCAAATCCAGACCATCGACAAGACGTACATTGAGATAACCGTTGATGAGCTTGGAGAACTCGTGCGGCTGGCGAAGTGCGAGTGAAGAGGTAGTGAGGAAGTGTTGGAGCTGGCTGTGGGGATGGTCGAGGACGAGGTTATGGAGCTGAAGCAGCGCGGCAGCAGCTGGAGGATGGATCTCTGCTGCAGTGTGGAGTTCTTCGGGAGTGGTGGATTGGACTGCTACTTGAGGAGGCAGGAGCTTGGAGACCGTCGAGCCGCCGATCTTGAGTTCCTTGGACGCCGATGAAGCCGGCGTCGCTGCCGCTGGTTCGGCATCGACAGTAGTGGTCCGCGAGGATCGGAGCGCTATCCCGTACTCGTCCCTCTCCACCTCTTCCTTCTTCGACTCTTCTCCTTCTCCTTCCTCGTTGCTTCTTCTCCTACTTCTTCCTGCTTTCTGGCTCGATGGCGCGGCGTTTCGCAGCAAATATTCCATCGGATTTCGGCCCGAGCTCGTTCGGATTCATGATATATTTAGGTTTACATAGCCTACTTCAAAGTAACAAAGCTGTTTGAAACTCACCGTGGTTGGTCGCCCCCCGAGAGCGCCCCCGAGATACACCACTTGATCAGGGACTTGAACCCCATCCTATCTTGTAATATAATCTCACCAAATCCTTCGTTCTGTTCTGTTCTTTTTTTGCAACCTGTTCTTTTCATGAGTTCAAACCTAATCATTCAAAAGTGAAACAATTAGTAACATGGATACAGTATGGCAACAAGTGAAGAATATTAAGGTGAAGCCTATCTGAGGACTTATCCTTATCCAACTCAAGAGCTCACACAGGCTCACACAATTTATGTAGAAAAAGACTCAATCCCAATCTCCACAGTCATTGACATTCTCTCCACATAAAAGTAAGGACATCAATAGCATGTAACCCGGCTGATCCACATGCCATAACTATCAAGTGCTTGCTCAATGAAATCCATCCACCACATTATGGTGTTTTAATTCCATTATGTTGTATTTATGTAGTCTGTCTGTAAAAATAAAAAATTATTACAGATCTTGATCAAGTTATAGGGAATTAAAATCCTACCCCCCATCATTCTGTTTTTATGATTTTTCTTTTTCCTTGAAGAGTTAACACTAGAGATTGTTCTGTGGTACCCTTTGCTAGGTTACTAGTACCGCTTGGAGGGTACCACCCACACCCGCCAGGCGGTGCCAGGTGCGGTGCCGGGTGCCGGTTTTTTTGGCAAAGAAAGGGGTGGTACCCAGGTACCACTACGAATACCACCTGTGTTCCCACCCTCCAAGAATTGGCAAAGGTTCTCTAACTCTTTGGGTGGGTTTTCTCCCATCAAGATGGCTTTAAATCTAGCTTGTTGGGAGGAGACCCTCCCAATGAGCTGGATTGTGTACCAGCTCATTGAGAGGGTATAGATAGTTCCATGGTACCCTTTGCTAGGTCCCTAGTACCGCTTGGTGGGTACCCCCCACACCCGCCAGGCGGTGCCAGGTGCGGTTCTAGATGCCAGTTTTTTGGCAAAAAAGGGGCAGTACCTGGGTAGCTACGGGCACCACCTCTTCCCACCTGCTGAGAATTGGCAAAGGTTCTTGTTGGGAGGGTTTTCCCCCAACAAGATGGTTTTACATCTAGCTTGTTGGGAGGAGACTCTCCCAATGAGCTGGTACACAGTTCAGCTCATCAGGAGGAAACCCTCCCAATGAGCTGATCTTATAATGGAGGCCTATTAGTATTAGTTAAGCTCGGTGAACCCCGGGCTTGCAAGTTTCAGACCCCCTCCGATTCAAAATGGCAGGATGCCAAGAGGGGGTCTATGAACAAATCTACTGGGCCAAGTTCAAGTCAGAAACCCCACTGGAGAAAAAAATATTCAAGAAAACCCAACAACAACAACAACAACAACAACGTCGTCAAGAAAACCTATCGGGAAATCAAGAACTCCATCGATCGATCTTAGCAATCCAATCAAAAAGCAAAGCAGAAGAAGAGCCATCCCACCACTCCAACCGATCATCAGATGTCCCAATCGTCAGTCATCCAGCGAACCAAATCCTACCAATCAACTCGGCCAGTTCAAATAGACTGACTCTCTAACGCTCCTCCTTCTTCTCTTTTTCAAGGAGTGATCATTCCCGAGATCCATGTCCGTGGGTGATCCTGAACGACTTTGGCGGGGCGTTCGCAATGGGCGCGATCGGGGGCACGGTATGGCACGGAGTCAAGGGGATGAGGAATAGTCCCAAAGTCCGCCATCTCTCTCACTCTTCCACCCCACACAGATAATCCTCCAAAAACTCTGCAAAACCCGCAAATCCCATTCTTACAATCATCATCATCGTCATCATCATTGCTTGGTTGTAGGGCGATAGGTTGAGTGGCTCTCTAGCTGCAATCAAAGCCCGAGCTCCAGTTGTAGGCGGGAACTTTGGGGTCTGGGGCGGGATGTTTTCGAGCTTCGATTGTCTCGTCAAAGGGTCAGCCAGTCCATTCTCCAAAAAAAAAAAAAAAAATCTCCCTTTAAAGAAGGATTGAAAACGGTTTCGTCCTAGTCATTGACACATCACTTGTGACCAATCACCTGTGCAGATATCGACAGAAAGAAGACCCATGGAATGCAATCTTGTCCGGGTTCATGACCGGGGGCGCCTTAGCTGCCCGCGGAGGAGTGCGTAGCATGGTCGGAAGCGCGATCGGCTGTGGAGTCTTGTTGGGCGTCTTCGAGGGTAACTTTTCTTTTTTGTTTACTGGAGAACACATCAAGATTTCTTGTCATCCTCATTTTTTCTGGTCATCTTGGTAGGTGTGGGAGTCCTCTTCCAGCGGCTGTTTGCGGAAAACAATCGGCCCATCGCTCCCCCGGTATGTTTATCTTCCCTCTTTTCCTCTATGACTCAAAAACAAAAAAATGCCTATTCTGCTTCTAATCAATGATTGTTTGTTCCCGATTTGTTTGATTGATTGGGATGATATAGATCGAACCCGTCGCAGCCCCTCAAACACCCTCAAATGTCGTCACATCCTCATGAACATCCGAGCTTGTATCCATCATCATCATCATCATTCATCATGACCCACCCGGAGCTTGTACCCTCGATTATATTCTGCAATCGTCATCCATCCAGATCCGTTTCCTCACTCGCTCTCTCCTCTCCTTTTCGTTCCGCCCTATTGTTAATGAGAAATATCCCGTTTGTTGTCAAGCTTCTCATGATGCACTATTCAAACAAAATCATCATTTGCAGGGTGTAAAGAAATGGTAGAAGATCTACATATAATTTGCACAGCTCTCTCTCTCTGTCTTTAACCTGACCTGACCCGCCACCTAGATATAAATATACCTCTTACTATTGCAACCGACTCACTTTGGTCCAAATGTTCATGCACCCTAATCACCAATTGTACCTATCTCACAATTTCACACTCAGCTTGTCCGTTTCTTTTCATCAATCCCTACTCAATTTAAATTGCCTTATCTCTATCCTATGCTACTTAAAAATATCATTCTATTATTGGCTTTTGGTTTCATATTCACTCTGAATATCTAAATCCTTCCATTTTTGTTTGACTCCACTCAACTTTTTTTCATTTCTTTCTGAGTTGTTGGTTGGTCTTAATATTTACATGGATGATCTTTTATGAAATGTACATAATCAGCTACAAAATACTCAAGACAGACCAATCAAAATCGAATTTTCATTTTTCTCTTGCATTGAGTTGTTCATTTCTAACATGTTCAATCAAAGAAACATGATGCAGTCAAATTGCGTGGCCGGGCTGAGTGATTAACTTGAGATCTTCATACGCTCCATCATTCTTGTAAGATATTCTGAGAAAAAGGTCTGTACATAAATATGGGCTTTGGGGGTACAGACAGCGGACGAGCAATTTATTTCTCCCAAGAAACCGAGCTCATTACATGCTCTAAATAAGTTCTGCATTCTCGCCAAATGAATGCTAGCAAGTCTTCCTTCAGGCAACCCTCAATTGTTGTGATCCGTGCTTCAATGTGATTCGCCCTCATTGGAATATCCAATACTTCGATCATCAAGTATTTGCTGGTGTGGAGTGCTAAGACTGGTTGGGACTTTTCCTCCGCTGGGTATCCTCTTGGTCACTGCAATGGTGTCACGTGACCATTATACTGATATGGGACTCTTTTAGAATTGATCGATCCCCTACCAGATCAGGAATATAAGGTCATCATTGCCAGGTTGCAATCTCAACGGAGAAGTACGTCGGTAACAGGCTTCAGACAGAACTCATGGCTGTTCATCGCCACAATGGAAGGATGAAAATTTGCACTTGACAATGGATGGCAGGGCAAAGGAAAGAGCAAATGGCATGATGCTCATAATTATTTACATATTCAAAACACTTGGAGGTGGTGGGTTTTTACACCGCAAAAACTGATAGAGAACGATAGCTGGTAGTCCGGCACCAAGTATATACACAGGACTCTGGTCACAAGAAAGACGAAGAAAAACGAAAACGAAAAACGAAAAACGAAAAAAGAGAGAAATCAGACCCGAAGCGAAGTAAGTTCGCCGAACGCAGTTCAGTAAATATATACAATGCGGTTCGTTTTCTTCCTGAGAGTGTTTTTTTACTTATTTAGTATAGATTGATGGTGTATTTGGAGGTGACGAATGTTCCCTTTCCCTAAAAAAAGTAGCCATCACTCGGAGATATCATCAGTCATCTAGAAATTCAATTCGGAGAAAATGAGCAAGGATCAAAGCAAACCTTGAAGATTTCAATTCCGGCACCGACGCTGAGAATATACTCATCTTGACTAACGCCGAAGGGCGCAAGAGATTCTAAAACCAAGCAAAACAGTGGTCGGTCAGAGAGGGTTCAAAGAACACGGGTAGAGTGGGGAAGCTTACGAAGTAACTTCTTGAGGTCTCCACTGAAGGAAGTGAATCGGCGGCCCTCCTCAGCTGGGAAGATGGAGATAACCGGCACGTTGACGACGCCTTTCCAGACTTGGAATTCGTACTTTCCACCAGATTTGATCGTGCCGGTTGGGCTGCCATTCACCGGAACTCGGGCCCCGGCGGGCCTCGCCTTGCCTAGTGATCCTAACCAGACCTGTTAACGAGCAGATGTTTGAAAATTAGTAAAAGGGTCTTGAAATTGGTGAATACTCTTGCTGGAGTCATCATAAATCCGACGATAGATTAGGAATGTTCAATGCCCGAAGAAGCTCTCAACTCACCATAACCTCCCTCGAGGCACAATCTTGACTTCTGCAGTTAGGGTCCTTTGTCAAAAAAATATCATAAGACTATTCCATCCCCCCGAAAAAAGAATGAACAGAAATTAATTAAGGGTTGTTCTGGGTTTCATGTAGATACAAAATAGACTGACGACATCCAAAACGAGGTCTGCTGATTCTTCGGTAAACTTCCAATCCCAAGCGGTGGTGAATACCTTGGCAGCCTTGATTGCGACCGGAGTCCCAGCCCAAGCTACGTTGGTGTCTGTGGTAGGTTAAGAGAATTATTATTAGGTTATCTTATCTTATAATTGAGGGACGTTCAAAGCGCGTCTGCACGTGTTTCTGGTCTGAGTTACTTACATGTTTTGACCTGGTTGTTGTCTTGCGGATTACAAGGCATACTGAATTTGGTTTGCCAAGACAAAGCGCCCTGGTTGAAGGAGTTACAAGTGATATCACTCATCGCCGGATCCGTGACCTTCTTAGCTAAAAAAAAAGAAAACACAAAATCGAAATACAAACAAACGGGTTAGCAATTGCTTCTGGGTGGGAATGGTGAAGAAAGTTGAAGGATAGAACGGTTGTGGAAGAAGACGACAAGGAGCTCGTACCTTGCCAGACGTTCTGGTAAAGGTTCAAGTTTTTAGCGAGCTGTAACTTTTCCCAATTAGCTTTGCTTTTCGTCCAGGTCATTTTATTTCCGCGACAGTTAGATTCTTGAACCGGTCCCATCGTTTGTAACAGATTATTACCACCACCACCACGGCCTAGCTCTGTGCCGGGCGCGGAGGGAGAAGCAGCTTGTTTGGATGCTGGAACGCACTTCACTGCCACTAAGGTTAGGAGGGTAGCCGCAATTTGAAAGAATGAAGTTTGCTTCATAGTTGCTTGGTTTCCGGGGTTTCTTTTTGTTTTCGTCTTTTTTTTGGGGTCTGTGTGTGTGTTTTGAGTGGCAAGACTTGCTTGCTATATGCTGCTGAAAAACTACTTACAAAGTAAAAGCGGGATGTATAAACAGGACGAACAGGAATCAGTAGTGAAGCGGATGATCAGGTTGTGGGAGACAATGATTGGAGGATAGCTTATAAACGTCGCGAAGGAATTATCCAAGCCCGTACAAACAGGCGAAAAGAAAACCCCGTCCAGTGAGTCATAGTTCGTAGGGGATAAGTTGGGAGTGACTGTTGCTTGGGCATAGGCACATGTCGGACAAAGTCGGCCCGAGCACATGCCGGACCGACCTTTCCGACGAATCACTTGATCAAGTGCAGGGTATCCAAATCAGTCCGACAAGAGTTTATCTACCAGGCATCAAAGGGTTCTGTGCCGTTACCGGGTCGCAGGTATATCAGGCCCCGGAAGCGCCCTTCATGTTTGTGCTCCTCCGGTCGTATGGGTGCTAGCCAGCACTGACTGAGTGTCTGCTTGCTGATAACCTCTTGGTACTGGCTAGAAACGAACAGTCTGAAGCGTCACCCTGAACAAAGAAATATGCATCATGGCCTGATCAGGATGTGTGATCTGCCCCCAAAATTACTCCGTTTTGGCAATGAGCACATATACAGGCAGGTGTTAAATCCATGCTAACGTGTGTCCCACCCCTCGGCCGAGCTTAACAAAGCCTCAGAGCAACTCCAACGGAGCCGCGACTGGGCGTTCGGGGGCGAACTTTGACTGCCTGGAAGGCAATTTTGCCCTCCAACGGTCCCGCGGAACGACCCTGGGAACATCCCCGGGGGCACTCCAACCCGCGATCGACCTCTGACTTCTGCGGGTCACCTCCCGGCCGCGATTCCTATATCGACCCACACACAACACCATGCACCCCACGATGATGGCCAACACTGACCCAAAATCTTCAACAAACACCCCCACCCAAACGCCTAGTTCTCCGAAGAAAAAAAAGAAGAAAAACAATTGAAAAACAAAATCAACCCCCCCCCCGAAAGAAACAACCACCGATACACCAAAAAACAACCAACCAACCAATATTGCAACCCCCAAACCGGCCGATAAAAGCATCATCAAGATCGATCCCCTGTGGAGTGGGAAGTTATGTCGGCCGATCGTCTTGGGGAGGTGGTTTGTGGTCGATCGCGTTGGGGAGGTCGGTTGGTCCGAGGGTGGAGGACTGCCAGTCCATTACTGGAACTGACCCGCGACCTCTGTGACATGAGGTCGCGGCTGCGGAACTCATGCGAGTTGCCCCCCGGACCGCTGGAGTTGCTCTCACGAGTGAGCCCGGAGGGCAGTCCCGCAGGGTCTCTGTGAGACAGCGACCCTGCGGGGCTGCCTCCGGGCTCTCACTGGAGGTCCACTTCGTGCGAGGCGCTTTGCTTAGCACAGGTCCTCACAGGTCCCTCCGAGGAGGAAGCTACGCGACCTCCGAAGGAGACGCTAAAGCTCGCTTTGCGCCCCTGCCTTCCGCGGCAGGCGATGGACTTGTGTTAAGTTCGCCCCTCGGCCCCCACCCGTCCGCGCGCACATATAGACTGCAATTAAGAAATATGTCCTGACGCATCCCAAATGTACTGACAGTTATTGGACGGATTATCTGCCAAGTCACTTGTAATTCTCATCGTTGAGGGGCTCTGATGACCCTTCTTTGCCGCAACCAAGACATCAAAGGCGCACATGACGCGTCTGTGGTGTCTGTTCTCCTAACATGCTCACAAACTGCTTGGAAGTTGGAGGGCAGGGACCTTGCCAGCGGACGTTGAGTTGACCTTTCCTAGGCACGCGTCACCTCAGTGATTGTTCACTCGCCGAGGGGACCGTTTTGTGCCACAGACAGTCAACCAAAAAGAGATTAGTTGGCCGGGAATCGGGGAAAAAGTGTCGCGTAAGGGTCCATTCCGCAGGTTCGCGGGACGTGCGGCTTCAGCTCTGAGCCAGGGAACGTCTCGGAACCCCCCGATGCTTTGGTGAGAGATGCAACACTAATTTGATGGCGGTCTTTGTCTTATCGGGTCGAAAGGATCAGACGCATCAGACACAACTTCGTCGTGTGTGACATCATGTTGTAATCTCAACGCTTGAGCAGGATCCGCTATATTGTTATTAGGGGGGGGGGGGAGCATTGCGCTTAATTACTTGGAAGGATGGGGTTCTGTACTTGGCAAAACAAACAAACAGAAAAAAAAAATCGAGAACGATGATTGGCAGCCCGGCACAAAGATTGAACTCGGGATCACAAGATTTGTGTAAAGTGGGGAAAGCTTCCGAACGTAACCAAAAGACGAAGGAAGCAAGCAAGAAAGAAAAAAAACAAGCGAGGGAGACGAAAAAAAAGAAGTGAATGAAGAAGAAATAAGAACCGAGTGGTTCGCCGAACGCAGTTCAATGTGGACAATGTTGTTGTTCTTGTTGTTGTCTCCTTTCCCGGAATGTTCTGATGTTTAGTACAGATCGATGGTGTATCTGGAGGTGGCAAAGACTCCTTTGCCCTAAAGAAAATCGAATAACTCATAGATATCAGCAATCAGGCAATTCTCCAAAAAGTTTGTGCAAAACAAAACAAAAGATTGAGGATTGGAAACAAACCTTGAAGATTTCAATTCCGGCACCAACGCTAAGAATGTACTCATCTTTAGCTATGCCGAACGCTTGGAGAGTTTCTGAAAAAAAAGTAGACAAGGAGTTGAAAATCAGAAGGTTTCGAATAAAAGATGGGAGGAGGTTGAGAGGGGCAACTTACTGAGCACTTTCTTCAAGTCTGCCTTGAAGGAAGTATATCTGCGACCTTCCTCAGCAGGGAAGATAGAAATGACGGGCACATTGACAGTGCCTTGCCAGACTTGGAATTCGTACTTCCCACCGACTTTGAGCGTGCCGGTCGGATTGCCGTTGACTGGGCTTCGTGTCCCGGCGGGTCTAGCCCCTCCAAGTGCACCTAACCAAATCTGTCCAAAGAGACGTTTGAATGTTGTTAGCAACGAGATCCTGGTTGTAAGAACTCTTGGGCGAAAATCCGACCTCGTTGGAAAAAAAAATTGGCAACTCACCATAACTTCCCTCGAGGCACAATCTTGACTTGTGCAGGTAGGGTCCTTGGTCAAAAAGATATCGTACGACTACAATTTGCAAAAGAAAGCAATTTAGCATTTGTCTAGAGGCGTAGAGTGTGTGTAAATGATGGACTGACCACATCCAAAACGAGGTCTGATGATTCTTCGAGGAATTTCCAGTTCCAAGTGGTGTTAAAAATCTTAGCACTCTTGAGTGGGACTGGAGATCCAGCCCAAGCTACGTTGGTGTCTGTGATGGGTAGAGTAAGTAGATGGCAAGCGCGGAAGGAGTTATTAAGTTACTTGGTCCAGTGAGAGGGCGTTCGGAGGGTGTTTGCAAGTCTTTCAGACTTACATGTTTTGACCTGGTTGTTGTCTTGAGGACTGCAAGGCATGTGGAACTTATTTTTCCAGGACACAGAGCCTTTGTTGAAGGCCCTGCAGGTGATGTCACTCATACCAGAGTCCAAGACTTTGTTGGCTACGAAGTCGAACCAAACAAACAAACAAAAAAGGTATCAGGAAAGTCATGACGGGATAAGACGACCGGCCAAGGAGAGGAGACGGGGCGCACCTTGCCAAATGTTTTGGTAGAGGTTCAAGTTTTGAGCGAGCTGTAACTTTTCCCAAGGAGTTTTACTCTTATCCCAGGTCATTGTATTTCCTCGACAGCTAGATTCATCGACCTCCCCCATCGTTTGCATCAGATTATTTCCACCGCGGGTCAGATCTGTGGTGGTTGAGGAGGGCACAACAACTTCGTTTTTTGCTGGCAGGCATTCCACTGAAACTAAGCTCAGGAGAGAGCTCGCAATTTGAAAGAATGAGGCGTGCTTCATGGTGAGTTGAGGTCCGGGGTTTCTTGCTCTGTTTTTGGTCTGTGTAGGTAAGTTATCTGTGTTTGGAGTGAGAATGCCTCAAGCGTCAAGACTTGCTTGCTAAGGTGAACTTCTAAATGATACGGATGAAGTGAAAAAGGGATATATGAACAGGACGAATTCCAGCTTTGGAAAGGGTGATTAGGGTGTTGGGGATTACGGTTGAGGAAGTGTCTTATAAAGTTAGTTTAGGCGGAAATATTAGGGGAAAAGGGCCGCAAGCGGGCGAAAAGAAACCAGTTCTGTGTATGAGCGATAGTCCGTAGGAGTGAGCTGAAGAGGAAAGGTCAGTTGTCAGGGCACAGGTACAAGGTATTTAAAGAAGTCAGACATGAGTTTTATCTACCAGGGAATGAGAAAGGGTTCGTCGAAATGTGTAAGTTCGCTGTAACCGGATCGCAGAGTGGTGTGGCTTGGACGCATGACGCCGGGAAAGCGCCCCTCCCTAGTTGTGCTCCAGCAGTATAACACACTCGCCAGCAAGCGCCTCAAGTCATGTCGGGCTACTGATAACGTCGTACATACATTGTAGTTGTATGTTGGGGGGGTCAATAGGGCTCAATAGAAATAGAAGCAATTCCATTTTCATTTGCACGCCTCCTCTTCTCAAAAAAGAACGCGACCACTTGATGTACGTACCAAAGGATGTGTGATCCGCCCTTCAAATGAGAATCTCCATCCGTTTTGGAAATTAGCAGTGTGTCTGTACCACCCCTCGCCTAGATTAATCTCCATATGCAAGGCCGAAGGCGTCACCAATTCTGATGGTCCGGGTGCTCTCATTTATGGCCCATGTTTGACGTGATGCGGGCGCACCAGACGCAGATTTCCGGTGTCCGGATAGAGAATGTGCGGGGGTGTGAATGTCTCGTCGTGACCAGGCAAGGGGCGCCACCTTGTGGGCCTGGGTGAGGTATCTTAGGGTCCGACAACAGGAGCAACGGAACCAAATCACTTACTTATCGCTGGGGAGACGGGTGCGCCACGGTCCGGAACCGCCGTCCGCCCCGCATGGTCTTTCTATTTCCACACTTTGATGCGGAGGCGGAGGAATCGCCGGTCCCGCCATGTTTACCTCAATGAAAATGCCTTTTTCCAAGGCAGTTCAGCCAGGCAGGGTTGCTAGGGGGTTCAATGTTCAGAGAAAGAAGTGGATGACCCAAAACGACCTGCGGCCCCGCGGAGTGCGGGCTGCAAGCCGGGAGCTTGGACCGGGCGGGGGAGCCGGAGGACCCGGGTGGTTTAGGTCTGCGGGTGGAAGCTCGGAGGGGATCCCGGCAAGACACGATGAACCATCTCAGTAACAGCATCTTCCTCGGTTTGGTCAACTGTCCAAGCTTAGCAAGACCATCTATCCGCTCTCGAGGGAGACAGATTCGATACCTTGGGACATCCGATACCAGCGATCGGACTCAGAAACTCATCCACCAGAAATATGCCGAGAAGATTAACGAAAAATTGAAAGAGTCAGTCCAGACTTAAAGCAAAAAAAAATGAAGAACGATCCGTTGGTAATTAACTAACTGATTTATGTGTTGGCTCGTTTCACTAGGAAGGGGTTACGTGATTTGGAGGAACTGAAGAAGATCAACCAGGATAAAATCCAAGCTGAACGAATCCAACAACGCAAACTTTACGATGAATTGATCAAGAAGGCTCGTCAGAAGCTCAATCCAGACACAGATCGAACGACAGAAACTCGGACATCTCCGATCGCCAAGTCGAAGCAATACTCGTCGCCTATCAAGGTAGGTAAGTCTTTTCTGGCCCAATCCGATGAACAGTGTCGACACTCGAGCCGAAGTGGTGACATATTTCGATTGATTTTTTTGGATTTAATTTCAGCCACTAGACAGCATCATCGATCTGAACAAGATAGCCACCCAGTCGCCGAGCGAGATCAGGAAGCTCTGGACGGCCTACCATCTCTCGAAATCCGACCCTCCCAAACTGGGCGCCGTGATCCCCTGTGCAACGTACCAAGAGATGCTCCAGGCTGCAAGGAAATATCCCAGCTTCGTGGTCCCTTTGGCCAAGTCTTCTGCAGTGGACTCTTCTGAGCAAGCAAAGCCGGCCGACGTTCCTTACGAAATGCAATATCTGGTCAATTTGAACATCTCTTCATTCATTTGCTGATTCTATTTTTGGCTCCTCTTGTGACAGAGGTTGATACGGGTTTTTTTTTTTTGGATGATGGTATTACATAGCAATGGGATTTCGTCAAGCAGCCTGCACCAGAACCTCGGCTCCCGGACTTCCTAAGTAAAACCCCGCACTGGACCCAGACAACGCCCTCGACAATCCCGGCAACGATCGTAATGTACACCCCGCTGGGCGAATATAAGCTGAGACAGACGTTTGCCCAGCCGACGTTGATCTTGACCCATTACACCGACCTGGCTGAGAGTCATGGAATCGTGTTGATGAGAGGCGATATCACGCCCCACTCTAATGGAAGCCCAAAAATCACTGCCATCGAGGCACAAATGCTCGTCTTAAGGTTAGCAATTTATGCTTTACTATTTGTTGAAGTGTTTGGTAGTCATTCTGTTTGTTTACCTTGAGCTGATTATTATTCTTATGATTCTTAGGTTACAACAATTCTATCATGCAACTCCATCTGCTAATCAAGACCAATCTGTTCACCTGAAACGAAGACTCTTACTTGAATCATTTCATGAACAACCTGATCGATTTCAATTGTCTGAGTTACTACAACTAGTCAACGACTTATAAATAAATAAATAGTGGTCATTAGCCTACTCACCAAAAGACAGGGAGTAATGTTGCCCCGAAAAGGATGTCTTGGTACTACTTTGAGCTTAAGGAAATGAATGAGGCTGATTTTCAAGTGAATTTTTTCTTGTTCAGGTTGGTCTTTTTTGGATTGAGATGATGTGAGGCTGGACCTGCCGGTCTGAGCAGATGATTCAGGCAGTGATGACTCAGATGAAGAAATTGAGGTGTAAGAAACCCATGAGGGTTGTTATCCTTATGACTGTAGGAAGACCCAGGAAAGCCCCTATAGAACACAGTGACCAAGATATATGGATTTTTGAGAGCCTCAAGAGGATTCAAGACAACTATTAAAGTGTTATTCAATTTAGAAAAAAAGGTGGAGGTACATTTCTGGACTTTGCACACCCAGTCCTGGCCATCACAAAAGTATTTTACTAGCCTCATCACAGTGTCAATCTAAAACTTCTTAGTTGGCTTTCTTTTTTGGGTATTGTGACAAACAGTTGACAATGATTGCTTCAGAGAGGTTATCATCATGGATCCCTTCTGTCCAGGGTTTCAATACAGTGCCTTGGAGTTGGATCCAACCCATCCCACTCCCATACCGTGCAGTACTGATGGCCCCATGGGACCTGGGTACCAGTTGCTTTATTGCAACGGTGGGCCGCTACACTAACCGTAGCGGTTAGTGTAGCGTAACGCAGCGGAATTCCCGTTAGCGTTAAGCGTAGCGTAGCGGAATTCCGCCACGACACCGCTAACGCTACGCGTGTGGGCCACAAAAAAGGGCCCACTACGCTGCGCTACAGCGGTTTTTAGCGGGTTTTAGCCGCTTTTTCTGCTAAAAGTGCTGTAGCGCAGCGTAGCGTAGCGAAAATGCGCTACAAAAGCGCTAACACTACAAAATTTTGGCGCAAAAAAAGCGCCGCTACGCTACGCTTTTTGGGCCAAAAGCGTAGCGGCCCACCACTGTTTCTTGGCCAAAAGCTGGCACCAGGTACCGCACCCAGTGCTATCTGGCAGGTACCGGTGGTACTTGAGGCGGGTACTGCCCGGCTACTGGAGATTATTCCAGGCAACCTGGTTGAGACCAATCAGGTTGCCAAGGAGGGTCCTTACTGGCAACCTAATTGGTCTTAACCAGGTTGCAGAGGAGGGGTCCTCTCCAGCAACCTGGCCAAGACCAGTTAGTCTCAGTCGAGCCACCAAGGAGGGGGTTTGGGGGGAGGTGCCCTTAGAGGTGCCAAGGTACTGCCTTCTTTTTAGCCCAAAATCAGGCACCAAGTACCGCACCCGGCACCAACTTGGCAGGTACCCGCCGGCAGGTGCCGGGTACCCCAAGGCCATCTCTACCCTGCAGATATCTGGCACAGAGCCAGGTTTTCTGGATCTTTGAGCTCACTTTTTTATGTATTGTATTACCTACATTTGTTGGACACAATCTGATTCTTCTTGTTTCAATGCATTTGAAAAGCCTCAGATATGTGTTTTTTCTATTTTTTCCCTTGGGTTTTCACCCCTACTATCCCACCCATTAATTTTGACTTCTCCATGGCCACAGGCTCAGCCTTCCACCAACCACCTTGCAAGTGCCCGCTTCTCTCAAGTGCAATGGTGATGAGGTTGGTGCCCTCAGCGAGGCTTGGCAAGGGGCAGATAAGGTCAAATGTTTCTCTCTGGTTCCAAGAATAAGGCCACCTTCTGCTTCCCCTTACTCTGGATCCAAGGAAGGGGGGATTGATGCCAGTTGAGCTGACCTTGGGTCAGATGCTTTGGATGGTGGATATTGAAGGATAAACAAGGAAATATGGGATCCCCCAAACCAGAAAAAATGGAAAAGTGTCCAAGTTTCAGGGGGTTGATAAGCACAAGCCAACCCCCCCACGCGCACACCAATCTGCACGCCAGCTGCAGATGGCATGCGCGCCCTGCACACCATTGCAGAATGGGTGTGCAGGCAGGCAAGCCCATCCGGCCTGCAGGGGTATACCCTGCAGGTTGGTGTGCCTTTCTGCACGCCCAAATTTAGGTCCTAAGTGCATATTTATATGCGTTTAGGACCTGGGCTGTCCCATAGGACCCAGGCATGGGTCCTATGGGACAGCCCCATTTTTCCTTTTTTTTTCTTTTTTTTTTTTTTTTTTTTTTTCTTTCTTTTTTTTTTCCCCCTTGGCCTAGAGAGGCCAAGGTCACGCCGCCGGGAGGAACCCCTCCCGGCGAGCCGGTGTACAGTCCAGCGGAAGGGATTCCTTCCGCTGTGGTAAGCCACTCCTGAAAATTCAAGATTATCAAGAGAACAAATCACAGAAGAATCACACAGTCAAGACATCCCAGAAAGCTCCCAGACCCCCAAACAAACACTCATGGAAACACCCAGGCACAATTCACATGGATAATGTAATTTCCCCCTCCCATCCCAACAGAAACTCCACACCCTTGAAGCTCACTCCCCTCCAGACATATTCCATTCTTCTTTCTCCTTGTGTCTCACACTAGTAACAATCCCCTTGGCCATGAAACAGTTATTTCCTCCTATCTCCTTCCATGGAATATTTTTCTCCTTATTTGTTTCATACTAGTAACCTTGGGAGCAATTGCCCACTGCCTATTTCCCCTGTTTCTATGGATAAATATATTTTCTCTTGTTTCATGCTCTCATAGAATGTTCCATTTATCTTCCAACCACAAGCTGGCCACTCCCCAGAATTTTGTATATAAGGAGCTTTGTTTTTCCTCTTCATTTGTTCCTCATCAGATCCTGCCCCAGCAATTCAGATAACTGATCACCCACTATTAGCCAGGTATTTGCCCATCAACAATTGGGATACCTTGATTTTGTGACAAGTTTATTTAGACTGGTAACCATAAGAAATATTTGACACACCATCCTCAAGAAATCTCCACAGCCACACCTTTTTCCTTAAGAGTCCATACTCTTATATTTTCTTGTTATCAGAGAGGCAGCCCAATAAAGCACCTATCCCTCTCAAGCTCTATTCCTCCCAAGAGTAGTTCCACAAGTGGTGTCCCAAAGACTATGAAATAGTAGAATCAGTATATGTGTGTGGGTGAGACTGCCCTCCTGTCTAGCTTGCGACAAAGTTACACTAAGAAAAATAATAAGAGTGTGGCTTCTTTCTAAATTTATCTTAGTGTTGATACCACTATTATTGTTGCTTAATAATACCTGTTTAAGAGGTAAGGAGATTGTGGGGATTTCTGAGTATTAAAGGTTTCTGAAGGGTATCTCTGTTAAATATGTTATAACTTCTCTCTGGTTCTCTGGTCTAATAATACTCTCTGGTTTCTCTGGGCTCTGATAAAGGTACACTTATTTCTCTGATATCTTTTTTCAAAAAGAGTTGAGAAGGGCGAAGTAATATTTTTGAATTACTTTTCTATGGCCAAAATAAGAGATAAGGGATGTTCAAGGGGACTCTAATAATTTTCTGGATTTCTTAATCAAAGGTTGATGAAAGCTAAGTAATATCTCTGATTACTAATCTGAAGCTAGAATAAGGAAGGATGAGGAAAACATGGGCCAGAAGAACCTCTATTTATAGACAAATGGTTCTGCTGTACAGTGGGTGCAACGGTGCAACAAGTCCTATACACGTATTTCTAGTGGGTGTGTATTGCACCAAAATGTATAGGCCATACATGTATTTGTATTGCAGCTGAAGGCAGCTGCAATACGAGTGTATTCTTTTTTTATGTATTGCCCTCTGAGTACAATACAAATAAATGTATTGCAGGTCCGCTGAAATACATCCCATGTATTTTTGTATCTGCAGATCCCAGCTTCAACTTCATTACAGATTTAAAACCCCTTTTTTTTCTCTTTTTTTCTCTTTTTTTTCTCTTTTTTTCTCTTTTTTTCTCTTTTTTTTCTCTTTTTTTTCTCTTTTTTTTTCTCCTTTTTTCTCTTTTTTTTCTCTTTTTTTTTCTCCTTTTTTCTCTTTTTTTCTCTTTTTTTTCTCTTTTTTTCTCTTTTTTTTTCTCTTGTTTTTCTCTTTTTTTTCTCTTTTTTTCCTTTTTTTCCTTTTTTTTCTCTTTTTTTCTCTTTTTTTTTCTCTTTTTTTTCAACTTTTATTTTTTTTATTTTGTTATTTTTTCCATTTTTTTTATTTTTTTCCATTATTATTATTTTTATTTTTTTGTTGATTTTTTTTCCTTTTGATTTTTTTTCTTGTTTTTTGCACCAAATAAATTGTATTCATTTTTCAGCAAATACACCTTTGACAACTCATTTTTTTTCAGAGATTTAATAAGATTACAGGATGCGGATACAATACAATTATTGCTTTGGTGAGAGTTTTAGAGGGGTGAGAGAAATGAAACAAATTTCAATAGAGAAACAAAATCTGAAGTATTAAGCCTTTCCTGTGCCTTTTCGTGTATTTTTTGCATTCAGTTTGTGTATTTTTTACATTCAGATTTTGTTTCTCTATTGTTTGCCTCATTTCTCTCACCCCTCTGAAAAAAGAGAAAAAAAGAGAAAAAAAAGAGAAAAAAAAGAGAA